CACTGTACTTAAGGCCACCAGAGAACGTTCTTTCTCAAAGAGAGCTTATTGGAATTTGGGAGAAACTCATTCGAAAGGAACTAGAGAAGACATACATATCTGCAGAAGGCTTCCTTACCACCTTGAAAGGTAAAACAAAAAATCTGATGATGTTCACATTGATCTTAAAAGGTGACATTCTCTGAAGCAGTTTTTTTCTGATTGGTATGAGTTTTTTTCATTTGCAGGCCTGGATTATAAACTCCAAGTTGGAATTGGACATTTCTATCATATTTTCTATGAGGGCTGTTTAACAGATTTTGAAATTGGTGGAGAGGGAGAAGAAGCCTCCATGCTTTATCCTGAGGTTAATTACACACGCATGGATGAGTACTTGAGGATCTATGTGTAAGATAAATTGATTTCACAGTTCAGTGTGATAAACTAAACCATGATTATCAGTTAAAATAACCTTACTTTGAGAGAGTTTTGAAGAACAAGGTCTTTCTCATATCTTGGGGTTCGCCTAGTGGTTTTCTTGTACAAGTATATCAGTAATGTGGTGTGCTTAATGTATCATCACCTTTTTTTTTCAATTAACTTCTTTATTATAATAATAATAATAATGAAAAGATCATTTTCATTTGTAGGAATTAGACTTGGGATTGTAACTATTTCACCATAATGTCAGGTCCCACATTGAAGGGATTTGGGGAGGGTCCTAGCTATATAAGTGGGTGCGTTGTACGCCCTAATAAGTTAGCCTTTTGTGGAGAGAGTAATGGCCCCGTGACAAAGTGGTATCAGAGTCAGACTCGAGTTTGCCCAATTGGTGGGCCACCCGTGACGGGAGCGTCACGGATTGGTCGGGAGAGTTGTCAAGTCCCACATCGAAGGGACTTGGGGAGGGTCCTGGCTATATAAGTGGGTGTGCTGCACGCCCTAATAGGTTAGCCTTTTGGGGAGAAAGTAATGGCCCCGTGACAATAAGCTTTTGATCCTATATTTTTCTTCTCTCCCTATCTCCTTTTAAAATTAGACAAAGCAGAGTTGAAACCTATGAATTGAGCTTTTGATTCTTCTAAATTCTATATAAACTATCCTCTAGAAAGGCACTTCAAGGCTCTCCCATATACAATAGAATGCGTTTTTTTGTCAAGAACTTGTAATTTAAGTGACATCTCCTTATTCCTTAAAACAAGGGTTGTAGAATTAATCTCCCAATGTAGTTAAAGAAGGAGGCAAAATGTAATATCTACTTACTTAAACACTATTAACTATCAAAACTAAGGTAATTAGGGGTCTAACCTTAATAAAGATTATCAAGTTTGTAAAATTATAAAAATTGGAATCTTAAATTTTTTAATTTAAAATGCACCCATACTCTTTTAAAATTTACCATTTAGAGTTTAAAATGTGCGGAAACATGAGAATCTAAGGGAATCAAAGCATTTGCAAAAGGAATTAGAAAAACATCAATTTTTCCTAAAATAGAGTAATGCACTACAGCTCACTGCAAATGCATTATGGCTCATCAGCCTCTGTGCTATGTACTATGGCGCATTGCACCAATTTTGACAGTAAATTTTACTATCATATGACAGCACCAGGGACAAACTTTTGACACATTTCATTTCTCTATCTGACATTCAATTGAGGTTATCTAAGTGTTTATATAAAACTTTCTCCTAACTCTATTTAATGGTACAAGTTTCATAATAAATTATTTTTCTACCAAAAGTTAGATACTTTTTTACAAAACTCACTCCCTCTTTCACAATTACTCACAACTAGGGTGTTCAAACTATAACAAATATATTAAAAGCTTATACCAACTCTTAAACCATGCTTAATGAATCATTTAAGACTCCTACAACACATTACAATCAATCTAAAACACTTATTTCATAAATTTGTCACTCAACCCCTTAATTTCCCAAAAATATGAAGAGGGAGTCAATCATGCATAAAAACATTAAATATTCATCCAATACAACCAAATATGCTTCACTCTACTCACATTAGTATTTTAACCCTGTTTAAACTTTACAATCACATATCAACAACTTAGGGCACAAAATACTTTCAATTGTAATGCAAGTAGTTCAAAATCAATCATATATGTTCCTAGTTGGCAGTAACAACAAAAATACACATAAAACAAGCAAAGAGGCCAACAAGTAGGATTTACATCCAAAATCCTAAGCCTCTGATCATTTTCTTTACTCCTAATTCGATAAGCTAGGCCTTGTAATATTGAAGAATGAGGGGTGCGTATAACTACTCAGTAACTAAGGTCAACCTAGCCTATACAATTATATATCAATTAATTATAGATGCAAATAAAAATAAATTCAAATATCACATATACATATATCAAATATAGCCTCGGCCACAACAATAACAACCATGTAACCAGGTATACAACACATATTAATATATCATAATTATGCACATCTTGAGGTTGCAAAAATAACAACCATGCACCCTTAAAAGACACGCTGAACTATAATATTAATAGCTATGTGGTCGAGACTATAAATACATAATCAATGCCATCCTTATATCTTCATGTTACCTCCGACATAAAATTAATAGATATCAATGGCTATGTTTGTAACTCAAACTAATCTAGCCTTTCTCTTGTGAAGAGTTACTAAGTCAGGGTCAAACTCACTTGTATATCGTGATTTCCCCCAATACTAATAATCATGGAGTGTCGTACTCCTAATTTAACCTCCTCATGAACTGATGGAAGCTAGTTAACTTTAAATCCTTCAAAGAATAAGTAGGATAGCCCTGAATCAACTATGAGACAGTGGTTACCTCCCAATTCCAAAGGTCAGTGACAAGGCAAGCTTTCGATTCCAACAATAAGCTGCCACTACCACGTGGATTTACCAAGCTACTCCTCTCCTTAAGAGAAACTCCTGTCAATAATCATGCTATGCACATAATGCCACTTACTATGTCATGTTACCACAAATAATAATATTAAATTATATTCACAATTTTCCTTCTCCACTATACTCTATTACCAATTATCACATATTCACCAATTTCACAATTACATGCTTTCATTCACTATTAATCACATGAACTCAATAATCCAATGCAATTGTACACACATAACTCATCACATTGCCACAATTTGCATCGATAGTTTTTAAACACCAATAAGTTTCAAATCATTGAATTTAGTAAATAATTAATTAATAAACAACTATATAAGCTAGATTTTCTCTCAATTACTTCAAACCTTTAAGAGATAAAAGGTTTAGCCCTCAAAACACAACTTTCTAGGATTTCATATTAGCTTAAATGATGCCAAAATTAGATAATCTATAACCAAACATAATGATATCATTATTATCTCTCACTTGGATGATTTCACACCTTAGCCACTCTTCCCAACTTACATAAAACACATTATCCTATTTCTCTTCATCCCTATCAGGTGTATTAAGTGCCAATAGCCCGCTTTGTTATAAATGGGCAATTAAACCACCACTAATGGTCATAAAACTCATCCAATCACCTTCATTAATGCTATATTCAGATATTAATGGCCCTTAACAATCAATAACTTATAAAATCATTAATGTGAGATTTAAGTACTCTAAACAATTTCCATTATATCTATTTTAGCTAATGGGTTTGGACTCATAACTTATATAGATTAAAATTAGTCTTCCAACTTAAACCCTAACTTTAATCTTCATGAAAATGAAAGGAAAAGGGAGAGAGAAGCATAATGCACTTAATTGAATTAATGTGTCAATAATTTATGATAATTTTCATAAAACACCCTCTTCCATCAATTGAATTATTGACTTTTAATTATTTAAATTTGAAAAAATTGCACATTAAACAAGAGTACTATAAAAGATAAGGGCAAAAGTGCATTGTTGATCATTTAATTTTACACAAGTTTTTATTTTGATTTCTTAGTTTTATAAAGTTTTTTTTTAATCTTCTAACTTTCATACTTTTAATTTTGTTAACAAAAAATGCTGACATTAAATTTTTAAATATTAACAAAATATTTTAAATACTAACATATTGAATTTAATTTTTTAAAATAACAATACTTAATAGAAAATTATCATTTTAGATTAATAGTATTAGTATTATAGAACTTAAAAGATATTTAATAAAACTAAAGATTAAAACTACAACTTTTCATAAAATTATAAAGTTAAAGGATTAGATGTGTAGTTTATTTTTTTAAAAAAAAAGTAATGTGATAGACAGAGGCATGTGCAATTTTTAGTCTACTAGAAGCGAAACAAAATATTGCTGGACATGGTGATATATTTAAAATGGGAGGATTTGGTAAGGAACATAATTACAACCGGAAGTGATTAACTGGCAAGGTGAAGAATCCTAAGTTCTGCTTTCTGTTCTTTTGAGATTTACACAAACTCATTCCAATCCCATGGCTGACTATCCAATGTCCTCCATCTATCACACCATATATTCATTTCATATCTTCAGTTATTCGCTCATTAACACAAGAAGATTGCTACGTGTGCTGTGGTGTGTGGCTGTGGGTGTATCTTAGTAATAAATTAAATTACCCTTACGCTAAGAATCGTTGGCTTTGCATGAACATAAAATATTTTTATAACTTGTAAATTTATCTTAAATAAAATTTTAAATTCCCCTCTCAATGATTTATATATGTGTATGTATGTTTAGTTCTTTACGATATCTCCAATCACAACTGGTACTCAGTTGTCAAAAAGCCTGTAGAAACTAATGCCTCTATAGTCTATTATATTATATTGTTAAAGACGTTAATTAATTTAATGAGAATGATATAGAAAATGCCACAATGATAGAATAGTAGAACAAGAATTAACTCAGGTTCATAATTGACGTCCATTATTATGCCATACGAAGGGGTGGGGGGAATTGCAGAGATAATAAAACAAAAGGCAAGCAACACTGAACAAACTAATTAATATACGTGGATACTTCCGCCAAACATGGCGTATTCATGGCCTCGAAACCTTCGTTAAAAATCGGTTTCTCTCTGCATTGTGCAGAACTGACCACCCAGCACACAGTACTTTTTCCCTCTCACCGTCTTCTTCCCTCCTCCAGCCACCAGTCATCGCCTCGTTTCAATAAGCGAGTAAAAGACACGCGCCTCCACCATGAAAGAAGTGACGGTGGAAGCTGAAAATGGCCACGGCGGCGCTTATTCTTCCGCAGGCTCACGCGGCGTGGTGAGACGAGGCGGAGGAGACGATTGTGGGGGATCATACCAAGTAATGGAAGATAAGCCTTCAAAGTTTGAAGTTATGGGATGGTATCTCTACGAGTTGTGCTCCTACTTCATCCAAACAGTTCTGATTCCACTTGTTTTCCCTCTCATTATCAGTCAGTTACAGCACCTTCCTTCCAACCCAGACCCGGTTCAAGACTGGCACTTTCACCACCCTGGTTTAACCTGCCCAGACAAAGAAATTCACCTGTAAGTAATTCTCTTTTTTATTGTTACCTTTTTTTTTTTTTGCACATATATATCCTTGAAGAGCTCATACACTAAACATGGACACAAGTTGGACTCCGAATTTTAATTCATCACGTTAAAATAAAATAATCCTTTCTGTTACTTAACTTCTTTAGTTAATTATTTTTTATTTTAAAACTATAGATGTACGAGTTTGTTTACACTTTGAGTAAATTTAAGCTGGCATAGAAAAATGTGCATTCGATATGAAAGCAAGTTTAATAAGTACTCCTTCTGGTTTGATTTAAACTATATGAAAGATGCAATAGTTAAATTATGTTTTTAACACCATCTCTTCTTACTTGCATCAAATTATTAACAAATTCTTAATTTCTGAACACATTTTACTGGGGTAATTAATTTCAATGAAAAAATCAAGAGCAATTGATTAGATTGGTCGAGAGAGTAAAATTAGACACACACATATAGGTCCAAATTAGTCTGAGTAGAAATATCAATATATATGCCCCATGTTTCCCATTTCAATGAAAAACGGAACTGAAAAATTAAATATTTTTATAGGTAGTTCAAAGATAATAACTTATCATTATTTGAGAACTGTAAAATTAGTTATAATCACTGAAAGAAGTAATATACAATGATCGGAGGAAGGAAACATAGATTCTAGGGTGGGTTTTCCGGTTCGATCTTAAAAGGCATGATCATCTGTGCATTCAGCTTCGATCGAACCATGAAAAGTTGTGTTTTTTTTGGGACGATGCGGTCTGCTTTTCCAACATTTTTCCTTCATACTCAAACAGTTCATGAGAGATTCCTTTTCAAACTCTCATGCACCTTCTTGCTTTGTTCAATTCTCATTTAATTATGATTGGATTAGAACTACATTTATTAGCAGCTGACATGGTCTTGCAATTCTGTGGCTGGCTTTTACTAGTGTTGGAGCCTTATTCAGAAAAATTACCCAGAAGGGTTTAAATTTTCCAGACAAGCAAGAGTGGGGAAAACGTACCTATGTACCTTCGTTCCATCAACTCATCATAATGATCTCTGTTCACTAACAACAATGCTATCTCTCATGTCTTGCGCTTCACGTTTATTAAAAACCCGACAGTAATTAACTACATATATAGATGCTCTCTCTGGGAATTGTAAACTTGTTTGTCGGATTCCAACCTAAAAGTCATCGCCTTTTGATTAAGATATTCGATAACTTATCCTCATAGGTTAAAAAGCTTCACACATATGGCGATCAATTATTTGTCAATTACTATAATACTATATGCAGAAAATCTGCAGACTCCCACTTTGAAGTTTTGAATGTTGACCGAAATTAAATTATCACCTGTGCCACCTGGTTTATTATTTTGACTGGTTTACATGTGTATAATATCTATATCCATAATATTCTAAAAAATTGAGTTAATCCGATTTCATCACGATTGGACTGTGATTTTAATAATTAAATTCCTAACAGTGCTGCTGGTAAAAAAAATCAATGTTTTAACTATTTCAATAACTGGTCAAATACTTTAATAATATATCTATGTGATTAGTTTATAGTACACTGTAAATATAGGTATTTGTATTACCTGTTTTTTTAAGTTTCTGATCAAAATGTGCGGTGCTTCTTAAGTACTACCGAACACTGGAATAGGTAATGAATTAATTTGTTACTGACATGCAAAGTTGGTGATCATAATTGCAGCTACAGGAAGCTCACACAGAGAACAATTAGTGTGAGTGGTTCTCATTTCTCTTCTTTGGAATGGACCTCAATAGCATGGGCTAGTGGTCTGGCCATGGCGGCTCCGATCCTTGGCTTCGTTTCCTATCATCTCGACCGGAACCTTCATCCCATCATTGCAGCTGCGGCCACCGGCGTCGGAGCTCTCTTCTGCCTCCCCGCAGGATTCTTCAAGATCACCAAGATCTTCATCCCTTACATCGCCGGCATTGTCGCGGCCAGCACCGTAGCCGGTGCGGCTCACAATCATCATCTCGGCCTCATGGTTCATGCCTTTACGGGTCCCTTCCTTACCAAACCTCAATACCGCATTCGCCAAGCTATTTCTCACCGTCTTTCCCTGTACTCCGCAGCAATCGGATCCGTCGGCGCTGCCATCATCTCCGCCTTTACCTACCACATGCTGGACGAGCCTAACGAGCATGAGTTCATTAGCCTATGGATTGTGTCGATCTTCAGTGGCCTGTTATGGCTTGTCGGCGTCTTACACGTCTACACATCCTCGAACAGAGCAGCCTCCTCTCTTCCTCCGCCTTCAAAGTTTCACCCTTTTTCGATTCTCAAATACCCCCACGCCATCGGAGGCCTCGCCGGTGTCTTTCTCTCTTCGTTCACCACCATGTGCATTTTCATAGGAGGAGTGATCTTCATCGTGGGTCAGCAGTGCATCAAGCCGCTTCACTTGCTGTTCCTCTGGCTGACTTACTTCCTCTTCCCTCTGCTTTCTCTGCCATTACTCCAACCTTTTCAACATCTGATAAGAATCGACGCCGTGAGAATGCAGATCCTGGGGTTTCTGCTATCCATCTTCTCTTCTGGGTTTGGCTTCTTCTACAATGATAATCCTTGGAAATGGGGTTACTTGCTGATATTCGGCGCGATACAGGGAACATCGGCGGGTGTACTGCACGCTTCCGGGAGGATACTAGTGATGGAGTGTGCGCCGGCGGGGAAAGAAGGTGCGTTCGCGATATGGTTGTCGTGGTTGAGAGCCGCCGGATTGTGTGCAGGCTTAACGGTGGGTTCGGTGGTTCCTGCTCGCAGGATACGAACTTCGTTCGGGTCAGCGTTTTGCGGTGCGCTTGTGGGGATATTGGGTCTGCTTTTCAGCAAGGTGAGTGACGTCGGAGGAGCGGTGGCGGCCGGGCATGTGATTGCAGAGGAAAGTGAGAGAGGCTCGAATGCGGCATCTGGATTGGATTCGAAGGAGAGGGAAGGTTCGAGAGTTTAATTTGACGAAGCTTGGAGGTGCGAGAGAATATGTACGGAATTCATAAATGCATAGCGGCTTGCATTTCTGATCGTGATTCTTTTTCTTTGGGGTCAACGCATCTGTTTTCGTCTGTAATGGGAATTGGATAACTGTATCTCGTTCCGTAATTGCACAAATTTACCAATTATTATTGTCCGTTTATATATATATATATATATATATAATATTTGATATTTGATCTCTGAATTTATGCATGTACTCCTATATTTTTGTCTTGTTTGTTTGAAACATGGGTTATATATATATATATATATATATATCACATGCAAATTGGACATTTTATGTAATGCATGTACTTCGGATCATAGTTGAATCATATTTATCCTAGGGTTCCGTCGACGGGCGTCTTCGTTTTCGTCCACTATCACAGACTAAACATTTTCTGATTGGTATTCTTTTTAATTTTTTTGTTGCCGACGTTTCCGATTGGTATTCAACTACTATGTTAAACATAACTCTATGTAGTATAGGGGATGGGAATTTTAAATATGCCCAAATATGATTTATCATCATATTATATTTATTCTTCACTTGAAAACTCTTCAATCGTGCCTCACCCGATGGTGACATTTTTGATGGGCATCACCTTCTAAATAACTCGCATTGTTTTTGTGAACACTGTATTTTACTCAAATATTTTTTAATTTAATAATAAATAATTAAAAAATATAAAAATATAAAAATAAAATTTAACCTTTTTTAGGATTATATTATATTTTCAAAAAAATTAAAAAAAATCTTGTTTAAATCTTTTAAAATTATCTCAGTCATTCAAGAATATTCGAGAATCAACTTTTGAGAGTTTTCGTTATCTTTTTTTCTCTCTTTAATCTTGTTGTTTTTCAAAAAAAGAGAAAAATATTCTAGTTTAACTCAAAATTAATTTCTTTTTTTTTCTCTTCTTTTTTTTTTTCTTTCTTCTTCCTTTTAATCTAATTCTTGAAGTTAATAAACAAAAAAAAGAGAGAGGGGAGAGCAGAACATACATGTTGCATAGGCTGGAGAGAGGAAATCAAGAAGAAATGGACTGCCGTACGCACACACAGCTCTTTCGACTTTGTAATAGAAACAGAGATGCAAAAATGCAGAAGCAGCAAAGGTGAGAGACCAAACGCAGGCACAGAGATGCAGAAACAAAAACAAGCACACACTTTCGGCCATACAGCAGGAAAAAGGAGAAAACAACAGAACACACGAACACATGAGCTGCAGACGCTAAAAGAACCAGAGACAGCAGACACGAAACGCAGAAGAAGCAAAACAGAGCAGAAAGAACAGCAAGCAATCGGAACACGTACGCATATGCTTTCGGCTAGCAGGAGAAAAGAAACAGAACCAAGGACGCACGCATGCATGCAGGAGATGGCACATCAGAGAAAGCATATGGGATGGCACAGAAAAAATGAGAAAAAATAGAGACAGAAACGCAGAAAAACACAGCAGAGACTTCGGCGCACACAAAAAACACAGCAAAAAGGAAGAAGCGGAGCAGGAGAGCAATGATTCACCTCTTCCATCCCCTATATAAGACCGAACGTGAAACAGAGATAGGGAGCAGTTTTTGGCTGGAGAAAAGGAAGGAGAAACATACACACAGAAGAAACAAAAAACAGAGCACGAAAGAACCGAAGGAGAAGAGAGAGGTTGAGAGAGGAAGAAACAGAGACAAAGATAGGAGAAACAGAGTCAGCCAAGAAAGCAACACCGGAGAGTTTTTCTGGAAAAAAGAAGAAAGGAGACGGAGAGGAGAAAGAAGAAACAAAGATGGAGAGGAGAAAGAGGAGACTGAGACATGAAGGAGAATTTTCTAAAAACAAAGAAAACAAAGAAGAGGAAGAAGAGATCGAGATCTAGGCGTCCCATACACACACGTTCTTGCTTCTGAATCTGCAATACACATGATTAATTTCTGTTTATTATTCCAAAATAGATTTCATGTTAAATATTTTGTCCCATATTTTTCAGTTACCAAATGATTTTCATTGTAATTGTCATATTTTTTTAAAAAAAAAGAGTGTGAAAAAGAAGGATAAAGAAATTGCAAATAATAATTTTTGCTTACTATCATAGCTAAGCTAAATTTGATTTTAGGCACGACCTCATTTCAAATAGAGAATTAGGGTAATTATTAAGCAAGGTCTTTAAATGTGTATATTAATATGTATGAGCATGATTTGTTTTTTTATCTCCATTAGTCCTAAGGTCCTTTACTTGTCAATAATATTGCTACACTCATATCATATGGCATTCTCCATCACGATTACATGTATGATTTCATTTATTATGACAAGTCTATTTTATAAAACGTAGAGGGGAGAGAATTTGATTCTTACCCAATTTTTTTTTAAAAAATGAAATGAATAAGAGAAAATTTATCTCTAATCATTTACTTGTCGTGTGAGATTTTAAGAATTTCCGCAGACATTTAAAGTGGTCTCATTTCGCATAAATCAATAAGATTTTGCAGGAATAGAGATCCAATTTATATGTATAATTAATAGTTTTAATGACCCACTGTTAAAATTAACTATTTTTTTAATCTAAGTAATTTATTTAAGTCCCATGTGAGACTTCAAGAATTTTCGTAAGGACTTAAATTAATCACATTATCGTGTGGGACAATAAGTCCTCGCAGATATAGTGATTTTTAATCATTATAATAAATAAATAAATTTTGTAAATAATCATATAATACCCAATTTAGAAGATTAATTAACCAAGTTAATGCATTTAAATTGTAACCATATTCACCAATTATATCTTTTAGTCATGTGAGATTTTTGAATCTCCGTAGACTTCTAAAATAATCATATTATCGTATGAGTCAATAAGACTCTGCAGATATAACGATTAAACTTTTTAAAATATATATATAAATTATATATTAAATTAAAGACGTATTTAAATTTAATTCCTTTATTGTGTGAGATTTTAAAATCTCCGCAAATATTTAGGATAATCATATTACCGTATGAGTCAATAAGGCTTTGCAGATATGTTGATTAAAATTCTTCAAAACATGTATCTACATGCTAAAAATTATTATTAACACTTAAAAATATACATAATAATATAAATAAATAAATTAAATGGCCAAACTCTTTTATCGTGTGAGATTTCAGAATTTTCATAGATATTTAGATCAATTACATTGCCGTATGAACCAATAAGGTTTTGCAAGTACTGCAATTAAATCCTCAATCATAAAATATAAAAAAAATAATAATAATTTTAAACCCTTTTTTTATTTAATTTGAAATCCAAAAATTGAGAAAATAATTAAAATTAAATTACTTCTTGTAATTTAAAACACACATATCAAAATTTCAGAAATTATTTTATTTACAAAACGGTGAATTATTTCTAATTAATTTTTCTTCAAAAAAATATTTTTACTAACAAACTTTTAAGCCCGAACTACGTGGACTTTGATTTCCATCACAGGGTACGTAGGCCTCAGAGTTAGATTCTGAGTCAAGTTTGTCCTCCCTTGTAAATAAATAAATATTTTTCACCTAATTCTTATAATTTTCATCAAACACATGAATATAAAAGGGATAATTAAAATAATTATAAAACCATATTAATAGAGCACAACAAATTTCAGGTAACCGTTCTGATGAACGGGTGTTGTGGGGTGCTTAACACCTTCCTCACACTCAACCGACTTCCGAACCTATTCTCTGATTTTTGCAGATCACCCTTATCCTCCATTAATCAGTTTCCTGAGATTTACCTCAAAATCTTAGTGGCGACTCCTCGTTCCATCCGATTCCTGCCATGAAGGTCGGGACCTCCGCTCACGCACCGTTCGCGTCACATTTTTTCTAAGTGCGACAGTCTTTTTTAGTGTCCCGTGTATGAATGAAGAAATCTTGAATATTTTTTTGCTCACTGTTGCTTCGATAAATCTCTTTGATTTGCATGTCTATCAATCTGACCTTCTGTCTTTTTTGATTATGGGCTCATTGATTGAATTTTAAGCACTTTCAAGCATCTTTATAATGATGCTATGGTTGATCGGATTAGGTATATTATCATTCTATTAAATTTGATTTGCTCCAGGAATCAATTGATATATCATGGCAAATCCATTAATATATCAACTGAATTTGATAAGAGCCTTTGGAGTTAATACTTCATGCTTGACAATGGTTGTTGCTGGGATGATGCCTCTCATCAAAGTTACAAGACTTCTTCCCTACCATTTGCTCCTATTATTGCTCCTTCGATTGATTGAACCATTTGGATGAAAAATAAGGTTGCAAAAAGGCAGCACATTCAAAGCTAGATCATTATACTATGAAACTCACATTGCTTTAATGGTTTTACTTTTCAAAGCACACTCAAGACACTAACAGCTTGTTTGGCAACCTATTTTAGAAATAGTTTTTTATTTTTTAAATATAAAAAAATTTATTTGATAATGTATTTTCAAAAAGTATTTTAAAAAACAAAAAAAATCAAATATCGTTCTGAAGAATAAAGAACAAAAATATTTTTTTAAGTGTTTTAGGATTATTGTTTTGGACAACAAGAGAGAATGCAAAAAATACATATTTTTATTATTAAAATATATTTTATAAAACATCAATTCTTAAAATAATAAAATAAAAATAATTTTAAACAAGTCCTAAGTTTATTCTCCCTTACCTTCTTTGATTTACATTGGCCCTTTGGTGGGTTCAATTTTAACCTAATTAACACTTCCTTGAAAGTCAACTATATTTGAAAGAATTTTTTCAAGACTGTCTCCATCATCAGGTGTTGTCATGGACGTCTCGTTAGTGCTCTCTAATTCTTAGTACTATAGTATCATGGGAGAATCACATTGCAAGCCTTGCAAAAGCAAAAATTTACACTACAGGTTTAATACATTCTGATATTATATATATTGCAGGCTCAATAGCTATTGTTACATTTTTTTTTTGAGAGTGAAAGCATAATTTTATTTTTATGTGATTTAAAAACTCAACTTGTGTAAAACCCTCATCCACAAAACACAACATAATATTTATGAATTTTCAATACAATGTCTATGCGTGTCTAGTTAATCTGTAGGTTAAAATATACAAGTCACATAGAGCATGTATAATACAATATTCATCGATGCACAACGTGATGTTCATGAATTTTCAACACAATATTCATACGTGTCGAGTTGAT